GTTGAGAAAGCAGTGGGCGGGAGGGGGGAGGCCCCGGTGTGGGTGGGCCCCATCGAGGGGGGATGGGGCGCGCAAGCGGCCAGATGGGGCGGGGCGCGGGCGGCAGTGGAGTCCTGCGGCTGGGTGGGATATAGGGCAATGAGCGTTGAGCAGTGTGCGATGAGCAATGAGCAATGAGCAGTGAGCAGCCCCTCCCGAAACAAAGTGAAGCGCAGGACGGGGTCCGGTGGATGGGAGGCAAGGAAGCGCGGGGGGTTGCCACGCGTGCGCTACCGCCGCCGCCGCAGGCAGCACCCCTGCGGCGGCGGCAGCGGCAGCAAGCCGTGGACCGAAACGCCGTGCCGCCGAGTCCCGTGGCTGTGGCCGTGGGCTTCTGGCAGGAACCTACGGCCGCAGCTCGGCAGCACGGGGGCGTCGCAGCGTGCCGCCGCCGCCGCCGCGCTGCCCCCCCGGGCACGGCAGCGGCGGCAGCAAGCTTGGGCCCAAACGCCGTGCCGCCGAGTCCCGTGGCTGCGACCGTAGACCGTGGGCCGGAAACTGCGGCCGCAGCTCGGCGGCACGTGGTTCTGTTCAAATCGCCAAGCGTGCAGCAGCGCCGAACCACGCTTCCCGGCCTCGGCGCATGCCTTCAGGGGCCCCCTATCGCTGGGCACACCCCTCCAACACCGAACATGCGCCCGGGGGGGAGGGCGGCCCGGGCTGCCCAGGCCAAAGTGGGCCGCCCTCGAGCAAGAGGCGGCCGGTCTGTGTGCTGAATGAATGAATGAATGAATCCGTCTTGCAGCTTTACACTGTGCATATGGCATTGGATATGCCAGGCGCATGCGCGGTGCTCTGCCCCATCTAGCACGCACGTCTGGTTCGCTCACCCTGCACTTGCCTGCACCTGCAGGTGATGGTGTTTGAACTGACAGAAGTGCGGCGTGAGTTTGCAGACGGCAGAGTGGACCAGGCAGTTGCGGCGCAGGACGTGCAGCAGCTGCTGGTGGACATGGGCCTACACCAGGCAGTGCCAGCGCAGCAGCAACTGCCAGAGGTCCCGGCACCAGTTGCCCCACCCCCGGTGCCTCACGTGCTACCCTCGCCAGTGCTGCTTGGGGAGGACATGGGGCTTGCTGCCAACCAGGCCAACAGCAGCTACATGGCACTGCTGCAGCAGCCAGTGGCAGCAGGGGCAGGCATGCCCATCATGGCTCAGCCCATGTGGGCTTCTACCGGGGTTTGGGGCGAACACCCCCGCCCTGCTGCGATGCAAGGCGTTCCCGTGCTGACACAGCCCCAGCAGGCAGCGCCTCAGCGCCAGCACACGTCGGCGGTACCGCAGCAGCAGGCCTCAGCGGGGCAGCAGCAGCAGCAGGTGCCCATGCAGGACGCCATTGCAGGGCTGCAGGGGGCGCAGTGGGCCACCGAGGATGCTGTTGATGTGGTGGCGGGGAGCGTGGATGAGCTGAGCACCACAGTGGCGGGGCACACCACCCAGCTGCAGTGAGGCCTGGCTGCTGCGGCTGCTGCTTTGATGCTGCTGGCGCTGCTATGATTGATTCTCAGCACGCAGATGGGATCCGTGGCCAACGCCCTTTTGCCAACCGTACGTGACACTGATGCGGCCTTTCCTGCAGGCAACTGAACAGCAGAATGGCAAGCCTGATCATCACAGAGCCCCTGCATGAGGAGCCAGAGATCAGCTCAGGGCTGCGGCGCCTGGGCTCCCTGGGATCTTTTGGCGGGCGTGCCGAGGGCCCGCCGGCCGCGGCGCCTTGCCACCTGCCATCTGATGAGGTGGTCAAGCAGGCCGTGGCGAGTGCGCTGAGCAGCACCGAGGGCAAGGACTCCCTGTCGGTGGTAGATCACCTGCGAGGCGTTTGGGGGATGCCAGCAACCGTGAGGGTGAAAGCAAGCCTGACCAGGATGGTGAGCCATGCTGGCATGTTAGCTCAGTGATCGAGTCTGCAGCATGTGACCCTTGGCAGCATTTGAAGCCGCTTGTGCCTTGCTGTGTCTCGCAACTCATCCCATCCTGGCCGTCACCGCCGCCGGGATGCAGGCCAACTCGGCGCTGTACTCACTGGAGAGAGAAGGCAAGAGCAGGAGGGAGGGGATCAAGCTGTCCAGCGCCAAGCCGCTCTGGTGGAGCGTGGGCTGACAAAACTGCTGGTGGCTGGCTGGCGGCACCGCCGTATGCTCTCTTGCTAAATGCGTGGCGTGGCTTGCATGTAACAGGGGGTGAAGAGTCCGCAAAGCCCACCATACCCCGTGGCAGTTGGACGGCCCCGGCACTGCTGGCATTTTGTTGGCTGGTGCTACTCTGCCGACGAAAACCAGCTGCCAGCCGCCTTGGTGAGCGCAAACGCCGCAGCCGCCTTGAACGCACCAGGGTGTTTACAATCTCTGCAAATCAAGCTTAAGACACACCCTTTCGAGACAAACAACGTTGAGCGAAGGGAGAGTGGGACAAAGGGAAGCTATAATTGTACAGGAGTGGGAAGTGGGGTGGAAGGCGACTGGGAGTGTGTGTGGGAGAGGGGGGTGTCGAACCACAGTCACGTGCATGCAGCAGCAAAACTGGCGAGGCGGGGGTAAGGTTGTTGGAAGAAGGTGTGCAGGCTTGGGTGTGTGGCATCAAACAGGTCAGAGAAGCGCTGTCGGGCGTTGGCATACAGGGGGCAATGAAAGATGATGTGTGTGGCATGCTCAATGATATTTTTGCAGTGCGGGCAGCGCCATTGCTTGCGTGGCAGGCCCAGCCACCGGCCGGTCTCCTGCGCCCCAATGAGAACCGTCGCTAGTGGCGGCGCTGGGGACCAGAAGCTACCGACAGAAACGCAGGAGCGGAGTGGGAACGAAGCGGTGGCATATGGCATTGGAAGCAGGAACATATGCTGGGCAAAGTGCAAAGCAGAGGGGGTTGCCACGCCAGAGATACACGCCCGCAAAGCAGGGCGGGGGGCGGCGGGAGGCGGTGCGGGAGGCACAGAAGGCTCATCGCCACCTTCATGGATCAGGGCCAAGAGGGCCAATTGTACTGGCCATCCCAACCCAAGTAGACATGTAGACCAGGGCTCCAATTTCCTCATTCAGGCACCACAGCAAGAGGGTGCCGGGCAGGCCCATGCAGAGCAGCGAGAGCTGGCCCAACCTCACAGCCAGCGGGGTTGGCATCGGCTTCCAGGGGTCCACCGCGGGCAGGGAGGGGCGGGGCTGCGTGCAGCTGGTGTTGCCTGCTCGAGCGCCGGTCACAGTGAGACGGCCGCGCAGGCTCGGCAGAGAGGCACCTGCAGGCACACAGCAAGTAGCTTCCCTCCACTTTGCGAGGATGGCAGGTGGGAGGGAGGCGCAGCCCTGAAGCTTGCAGGCAGCCCCCGATGCACGGTCACGTATATGCAGGGCTGGACCCAACGCGCCCGGCAGGCGAGGCCTGACTGGCGGGTGAGAAGACGCTCACGCCGTCTCACACAACTGCCCTACGTTGCCGTTCCGCAGCACAGCAGCAGA